CTAGATGGAGCTGATGATCATAGTAAATAAGTATTTCTTTCCTATCATCATTTGCTCCATCTAGTGGCCACAATGCAATATTTTCTTGATTCAAGCAATTCTTATGAATGAACATTGGATCTGGAGAGAAAATAACCTAATAATATTCAATTTGAACAGAATAAATATACATGCGGTTTCGCAGTACTCTGCAGTTTTTCTTTTAAATTACACCCCTATGAGTGAATTGGCGAGTCTCAAGGTGACAACTGTCCGGCTTCAGCCGACATCTGAACCCCTGACATTCAAGCTGAAGTATCGGGCGTCATAAATGAAGTCAAAAAGAGGTCATGTAAACCTTTTATCGGTAAGCCTACACACTTATCATAATTTGTACTGTATATTCAGATTCTTGGATAATCCCAGCCACGAGAAATTGTAGTGTATGATGGCCATGAGTCACTTGATACTGCAGCAACGAAAGTGCTTTTGTGATTCAGCAGCACTCAGTAACAAACAATAGACACGTAAAGCTCCAATCTTGCCTGTTAAGTATCAGCTGGAAGCTTGCCAAGGTGCCTTCATCGACGTCTGAATAGCAGGCTGCCCTACTATAGTGGAAGAACGCAAAACTCTTGTGACTCATGGCAACCAACCAGATTTCAGCGCTCAACAGAGAAGAGCAGTGAGATCGGTGGAAGGTTGCTGCTGAGTGGTTCCTGCGGCTCACAGGACAACATGCTCTACCTTACAAAATTTGCAGATAGTCCTTTGAGCAAAGCAGCACAATTATTAATACACGCCAGTGCTATAGGAACATCATAGAGTCTCTCATGTGATGGGTTACTAAATATAGCTTGGAGACACTTTACTAAATCCAGGAGAATTTGCTGCAGAACTATGTGCGATATTAATAAAAGATGCGCTAAGCTCCGGGCAGCCGAAATTTCAGGCACAAAGGTTCACAAAGTAGTCAAATCAATATTTAAGGGCCGTGAGGCAAAATGCAACACTGTATAAATAATACACTCTTATTTGCGCATTTTATGCATCGTGCCCTCCAGTGATGGCGAGTGAGAGATATTCCTAATAGGTGTTGTGTCTCTCTGAGCCAGATTCAGCCGAATGTCTCTGAAGCTCCAAGCTGAAAAAATGTGGGGAAAGAAATATGACAAGTGGGTTGTTATTCGGGTTGCCCAGGAGTCATGGTGGCTTCCCAGTTGTGTCCAGACTGAGGAGCCTGGGAGGGCCAAAGTAAGTGGCCACTCACATCTTCCTCTTCCTTTACCTCTTCTGCTTTTTCCTATTTCCCTTACATTTCTTCCTCATCATATTCCCCTAATCTTCCTTCTCATCCTCATATTCCTGTTTCTCTTCTTCCTTCTCCTGTTGCTCCGTCTCCTCATCCTCCTTCTACTCTACTGTCTTCTTCCTTCTTATCTTGATCACGCTTCTCTCTTCTTCCTTCTCCCCATTCCCCTTCCTTTCTTCTTGCTTCTTTTTCTCCTCTTTCTTCGATTGTTCCTCATTCTTTTCTTCTTCCATGATGTGTTTTTCCCTTTCCTCATCCTCCTTGTCTCCCTAATCCTTCTTCTCACGCTCTTTCTCCTCATCCTCCTACTTCTTCTCTTCCCAACCCTTCTCATCCTCCTTATCTTTATCTTCCTTCTCATCATCTTTTTCTTCATACTCAACCTCATCTTCCTTCCTCTTTTCTTCCTTCTCTTCATTCTCCTTTTCCTATTCCTTCTCATTCTTCCCTTTTCTTACTTTTTCTCATCTTTTTTCTCCTCTTCTTTCTTTTCTTTTTTGTTCTCCTTATCTCCCCTCTCCTCATTCTCTCCTCATTCTCTTTCCCTCATCTTCCCACTTCTCATTTATTTTCTTCTCCTCTTACTACTTTTCTTCTTCCTTTTTCTCATCCTTATCTTCTTTTTCTCCTCATCTTCCTTTTATTTTTTTTCCTTCACCTCATCCTCTTCTCTCTCTTCATCCTTCTTCTTCCTGCTCATTTTTTGTTGTTCTTACTTCTCCTCATCCTCATCCTCCTTCTCTTCTTTCTTAATTTGTTTTTCCCCATCTTCCTTGCCTTTATTCTTCTCTTTTCATCCTCCTACTTATTTTCTTCTTTCTTCTCTTCTACCACTTCTCTTCGGCCTTTTCCTCATCCTCATTATCTTCTTCTTCTGTCTCCTCATTCTCTTTTACTCATCCTCCTACTTCTATTTTACTTTCTTCTCCTCATTCTACTTCTCCTCATTCCTTCTCCTCATTATCTTCTTCTTCTTCCTTCTCTGTATTTTCTTTATCTTCTGCTTCTTTCTCATTTTCATTATCTTCTTCTTCTTCCTTTCCTCATCCTCCTACTTCTCTTTCACTTTCTTCTCCTCTTTCTACTTCTCTGTTTCTTCCTCCTTATCTTTTCCTCATGTTCCTTCTCCTCTTTCTTCTTTTTTCCTTCTTCTTCTCATTCAGCTTCTTCTCTTCTTCCTTCTTGTGTTTTTCCTTCTTTTCATCCTCCTTGTCCTCATTCTCCTCTCCTCATCCTCCTACTTCTTTTCTTCTTTCTTTTCCTCTTCCCAATTCTCTTCTTCTTCCTTCTCCTCATCCTCATTACCTTCTTCTTCCTTCTCTTTATACATTCTATCTCCTTCCTTCTTCTTCACAACGTCTTCTTCCTTCCCCTCAATTTTCTTCTCTTTGACCTCCCTCTTCTCTTTTTTTTACTTTACTCTTATTCTTCTCCCCATCTTCCTTCTGTGCATCCTTTTACTTCTCATCCTGCTGCCCCTCATATTGAAATCTAACCTCCATCCTTCCCTTCAGTCTTGCACAGTTGTAAAGGTTCTTCTCCTGTATTAAAATAGCTTACTCTCAATTCACTGCACACTGTGAGCTTCTCACCATGCGCATGAGAAATTGCAGCAAGTCAGAAAAAAAACTGCCTCATTTTGGAGCAGGGGGACATATAGCATCTTCTAGCACTGTCCTCCCCAGCCTCAATCATGAAGGCTCAGCATCACATGTGGTTGTTACCTAGGACAGTCTACATGCATGCCTAGGAACACCCACTCCTCCAGACTGACACCTCCCTATTAAGGCATTTTGATATTTGCATACCCAATCCCAAGAACCAGCCTTGCATCAGGTCTGATGACTCTTGAGAGGAGTACTGAGGCAGGGAGCTGTGAAGTTTTCAGGAAGCTATGTACAGCACCCTACTGGTCCCTCTGACCAGCCATTACCTGCCTGCATTGCACAGAGAAGAACAGAGACCCAGTGATGAGATTTGGAATGCACATATGGAAAGGTGTTATTGAAAATTATAGCTTTAACTAACTCAACCTCCTTCCTCCCCCTCTTCAGCCTCCTACTAAATAGTTGAAACCATTTAATTAGGTATTGTGTTGTTCAATGTACTGTGTGGCCCATGTGCCCCTTTTCTGAGCAAGTTATATGGACCATCTGTGTATCCTAGACGTGTACAAGAGGAGGCACCTAGAACTACACTGCCCTGGTAAAGCTCAGTGAATGGGTTGCAGAAAAGAGCAGTTTGCACTGTTGACATTTCCTTCTGTGCTCCACAAAGAAATGATCGACCTCCGGCAACAGACAAATACCGGCATCCAACAATTATTGCACAAGTACGGATGGAGGATATTATGTGCACCTGAGGTAACAGTTCAATAATATGAGGAAACAAGTCAATGATATGCTGAAAGATGAGTAGGAATCCTTTTCCAGACACATCACTGTGATCCACAATGAGTCATCCGGTGTAGCAGCTAAGATTGATCCCAGACAATGGCTTAAAGGATAAGTTCACCTTTTGCACAAAAAATATTAAATGCACATTTTTTTTGCAGGTAAAAAAATTTAATTCATTATTTTTATCTGCAGGAGCTTGTAAAGCAATCTATTAATCACTGGTGCCATGCAGGTCTCCTGCAGATCTGTCAGTATACCAGCTTGCCTGTGTGGGATGCACAGGCAAGCAGATATACTGACAGGAAGATTCACAGCACCATGGCAGTTCATTGAAAACTACAAACTGACAGCCGCTAAGGCTGTTGAGACTTGCAGTTCATTCATTCACAGAATTCTTGGAGACATGGAGCACACAGCCACTAGATGACATGGGGTACACTGGGTACACCTGGAGACACAGTGGGGTGCTGGACTCACTAGATGACACAAGGTGCACATGGAGATGGGGGGCGCATGGTCACTAGATGATGGGGCACACTTGGAGACATGGGCTACAGTCACTAGGTGATACAGGACACTCTTGGACACATGGGCCACAGTCAGTAGATCATACGGTGCACTCTTGGAGACATGGGCTACAGTCAGTAGATGATACGGGGCACTCTTGGAGACATGGGCAACAGTCACTAGATGATACGGGGCACTCTTGGAGACATGGGCCACAGTCACTAGATGATACGGGGCACTCTTGGAGACGTGGGCCACAGTCACTAGATGATACGTGGCACTCTTGGAGACATGGGCCACAGTCACTAGATGATACGGGGCACTCTTGGAGACGTGGGCCACAGTCAGTAGATCATACGAGGCACTTTTGGAGACATGGGCCACAGTCACTAGATGATACGGGGCACTCTTGGAGACATGGGCCACAGTCACTAGATGATACGGGGCACTCTTGGAGACGTGGGCCACAGTCAGTAGATCATACGAGGCACTTTTGGAGACAGGGGCCACAGTCACTAGACGATACGGGGCACTCTTGGAGATACGGGACACAATCACTAGGTGATACAGGGCACTCTTGGAGACATGGGACACAGTCACTAGACGATACGGGGCACTCTTGGAGACGTGGGCCACAGTCAGTAGATCATACGAGGCACTTTTGGAGACAGGGGCCACAGTCACTAGACGATACAGGGCACTCTTGGAGACATGGGACACAGTCACTAGATGATATGGGGCAGTCTTGGAGACACAGGCCACAGTCACTAGGTGATACAGGGCACTCTTGGATACATGGGCCACAGTCACTAGATCAGGGGTGGACTGACAACTCATGGGGCCCCCGGGCAATAGGGGATCATGGGGCCCCTGTGTCCTTGCCCAAACTCAAAAAAGCCTATGAAAAAGGTACCAGGGGCATCTCATGGGGCCCCCTACTGACCCCGGGCCCTCGGGCAGTGCCCTGAGTTTCCAAATGGTCAGTCCGCCCCTGCACTAGATCATACAGTGCACTCTTGGAGACACAGGCCACAGTCACTAGGTGATACAGGGCACTCTTGGAGATATGGGCCACAGTCACTATATGATACGGGGCACTCTTGGAGACATGGGGCACAGTCACTAGATGACACTTGGCACAAACACTGGATGACAAGGGTCACACTTGGAAAAATGAGGCACAGTCACTAGATGACACGGGACACACTTGGAGACATAGGGCACAATCACTATGTAGTGGTGCACGATACCAAGTACAAAATAATTAAGCTGTGTCAGGAAACAGACACCAAATGAATTAGTAAGGGCAAACCTCAATATATCGTCACACAATAGGATTGTTAATGATAAAGGCATGAAAGTGGATTAGCAATAGTAATAGTACAACTCAACATATGGTATGATCAATAGTCAGCAGTGGGTTTAGAATAACACTATGCACCAGAATCAACATAAACAGTAGCAAGTTCACCACACATGCATCAATGGACAGTAATGTGGGTAGACTTACTGCGTTCAGGGGACTATACTGCCAATGTGCATTAAGGGTGACTATGCTAGCCTTAGAGTAACTGGACTGAGGTACCCTTTATCTAAAAAATAGATGGGGTGCTTGTAAAATGGCTTTATAAGGGCAGTCTGTGCTCTTCTGCCGGCTAATGTTGGGGCTCATAAGCAGCATTGTTGCACTTGGTGAACCAGCATACAGTGTAGGTGCTATGTACTTAGTTTCTTGCTTCCAGGGACTCAATCTCTGCTATCAGTGTGTATTTGCGCAGAACGCCCTTTTATCAGATCCTATGGTGCGGCTGTAGACTCCTGCTGTAGGAAAGGGGCCCTCTATGCAGATGGCTCTGGTGATCAGAAATGAAGGAGGGGAGAGTAACAGATTACTTCAGTCTCCCTGCAGCAAAGGGGTTATTGATTTATTCACTGTGGTCCATGTCACCGCTATCAGGCCTCAAGCTCCATTCCCTGCCAGTCGGGTCTCTCACAGAGATGTGTGCACACAGGGTGATGTGCTGACAGTGTCATATGGGAACTGTAGTGTAAGGGTCCATGAGTCCCATTCTATGTTGATGTCCTAGACTTCAATTCCCATGATCCTCAGCATTCTGTATAGAAGTCCATAGGCTTTCCTTGCTATAGCTTTCCCCCTGCTGTCTGGAACAATGTTGTACAACACAACATCAAGCATAGCAGTATAGACAGAAAGTAAAACTGATGAAAAAGAGGTTGAAGTCACCTTCTCCATGTTTCTGTAGTCCAGCACCTGATTACAACTAGATGACATAGGGCACACTTGGAGAAACAGGGCCAGTCACTATGACACGAGCACACTTGGAGACATGGGACCAGTCACTAGATAACACGGGGCACACTTAGAAGCATGGGGCCAGTAACTAGATGACATGGGGCACACATGGTGACAAGGGTCATAGTCACTGGATGACATGGGACACACTTGAAGACATGGGGCCAGTCACTAGATGACATGGGGCACACATGGTGACAAGGGTCATAGTCACTGGATGACATGGGACACACTTGAAGACATGGGGCCAGTCACTAGATGACATGGGGCACACATGGTGACAAGGGTCATAGTCACTAGATGACATGGGGCACACTTGAAGACATGGGGCCAGTCACTAGATGACATGGGGCACACTTAGAGGCATGGGGCCAGTAACTAGATGTCATGGGGCACACATGGAGACAAGGTCATAGTCACTAGATAACACCGGGCACACTTGGAGACATTGGACTAGTAACTAGATGACATGGGGCACACATGGAGACAAGGGTCATAGTCACTAGATGACAAGAGGCACACTTGAAGACATGGGGCCAGTCACTAGATGACATGGAGCACACTTAGAGGCATGGGGCCAGTAACTAGATGTCATGGGGCACGCATGGAGACAAGGGTCATAGTCACTAGATAACACGGGGCACACTTGAAGATATTGGACTAGTAACTAGATGACATTGGGCACACATGGAGACAAGGGTCATAGTCACTAGATGACACCAGGCATACTTGAAGACATGGGCCAGTCACTAGATGACACGGGGCACACTTAGAGGCATGGGGCCAGTAACTAGATGACATGGGGAACACATGGAGACACGAGTCATAGTCACTAGATGACATGGGGCACACTTAAAGACATGGGGCCAGTAACTAGATGACATGGGGCACACTTGAAGACATGGGGCTAGTAACTAGATGATATAGGGCACACTTGGAGACATGGGGCTAGTAACTAGATGACATGGGGCACACATGGAGACACGGGTCATAGTCACTAGATAGCATGGGGCACACTTGGAGAAATGGGGCCAGTAACTAGATGACATGGGGCACACATGGAGACATGGGTCATAGTAACTAGATGACATGGGGCACACTTGAAGATATGGGGCCAGTAACTAGATGACATGGGGCACACATGGAGACATGGGTCATAGTCACTAGATGACATGGGGCTTACTTCAAGACATGGGGCCAGTAACTAGATGACATGGGGCACACTTGAAGACATGGGGCCAGTAACTAGATGACATGGGGCACACTTGAAGATATGGGGCCAGTAACTAGATGACATGGGGCACACTTGACAACATGGGGCCAGTAACTAGATGACATTGGGGCACACATGGAGACATGGGTCATAGTCACTAGATGACATGGGGCACACTTGAAGATAAGGGGCCAGTAACTAGATGACATGGGGCACACTTAAAGACATGGGGCCAGTAACTAGATGACATGGGGCACACATGGAGACATGGGTCATAGTCACTAGATGACATGGGGCACACTTGAAGATAAGGGGCCAGTAACTAGATGACATGGGGCACACTTGAAGATAAGGGGCCAGTAACTAGATGACATGGGGCACACTTAAAGACATAGGGCCAGTAACTAGATGACATGGGGCACACATGGAGACATGGGTCATAGTCACTAGATGACATGAGGCACACTTAAAGACATGGGGCCAGTAACTAGATGACATGGGGCACGCTTGAAGACATGGGGCCAGTAACAAGATGACATGGGGCACACTTGAAGACATGGGGCCAGTAACTAGATGACATGGGGCACGCTTGAAGACATGGGGCCAGTAACTAGATGACATGGGGCACACATGGAGACATGGGTCATAGTCACTAGATGACATGCGGCACACTTGAAGACATGGGGCCAGTAACTAGATGACATGGGGCACACTTGAAGACATGAGGCCAGTAACTAGATGACATGGGGCACACTTGAAGACATGGGGCCAGTAACTAGATGACATGGGGCACACATGGAGACATGGGGCACACTGGGCGCACTTGGAAGCAGGCACTGAGGACACAGTTATACAGGTAAGTACTACACGTGACACGGCTAAGCATAATGATCTGATGCTCCAACGCTGAACCGCACATTGTTTTGCAATTACAAATCAGTAGTAGAGCTGTGTCCTGGTGCTGGAAGTACCTGCAGATTATTGCCAGAGAGGGTACCCAGTGTTGGATCCCAAAGAGGTGAGTGTTACAACAAGGACCTTCACGACAGGAGTGTCAGGGGTTCATTTAACGAAAACTCCAGTTATACAGATTAAAAATGACATTAACATCTTAAAGCTTGTATGAACTTTTAGTGATTGAATTTAGGTCGACTTTTGAAAAAATGTAAATTCTGTTTCTGCATGTAAACTTCATTCTTTAAACTATCTCACCCAACATATAAAGGTCGATGTCTAATGAGGAAGATAAAAGTCGCCTCTCAGAGAATGAATCTGCTGTAAGTGATCAGTTTGTGAATGTCACCCGTACGATAGCATCGCGTCTCATGGCACGGCGAGGAGGTGACGCAGATAAAGAACACATAACTTATTTTTTTTTTTTATGAATGACATTTTTGGGATGTGTGGGACCTTTATTCTCACCGCAAAAAATCTTTGAAATCATCATTTCTCGATGTTGATAATTTTTTCATTTTACAAAGCCCACGCACATCAGCCCAGCTCATTCGAAGAATATAATCGCTTTCATTAAATGTGAAATCTTACAAAGATACAGAGCAGCGATTATCCATTGTAATCCTATGGACGGACGCAACTGCAAACCCAACAGGCAGAAAAATCCAAGTCCCTTTTTTTGATGTGAGTTGTCTTAATTTGCCAGTTCAAGAGCAGCTATTGAAACGCCAACATCGGATTCTGAGTGGTGAATCTTTGTTGAATTGCGGTATTTGCGTTCACGCTGATTATTCAGTAAATTTCTGCATCCTGAAACTGGTGATGGAAGTTGACTTTTTTCCTGTGTAATATCACAGTGATGCCTACATATCCCCGACGGAAGGAAATCAAATCAAATGAAAGCTGTAGTAGAAAATGTAAAATAAATTTGGTGCGCATAGAAAATTGATTCGTAGCTGGATGGATCTGGTCCCTAAGGGCCCTTCACATCATACCGCACCACAATATAGTAATACATAACGCTTGTGCACTGCTGTGCGCCATGATCGTGTGTTGTCGTGCGCTGCAATGCTTTGTTATAATGCATTGCAGATGCTTGTTTCTTATTTCAGACTGCAGCATGGTAGCTTTGTAATGCGTCACAAGGTAAAAGGTGTCAGAAGGGGGCTGTTCAGTGTCAGACATTTGTGAACACTGCCAAGAACTGCACAGGAACCAAGATTTAGATGATTGTGTCCAGGAAGTAGATGGTGACCCTGGTCCCTGAACAAAGATGGGGGCTCTCCACTCAGCATCAAGGGTTTATTGTCAATATATTGTCCCAGATGAGCTCCTGAAAAATGTATATTATTCCAGAGTGTTCTATGTATATCACAGAGTTGTGATCTACTGGGGGGCAGAGCAGTGTGTTGTTTTACCACTATGGTGCTAAGAATCTGTCAGTCAGCATGAAGTCTCCGTCAGAGTTTTATTGCGTCAGAAATCTGGTCAAAGATCTTCTAGCATTACTCATT